AAATATTCCAGGATCTCAAAAGCCACCGACCGTGCCAACTGCAGCACTTCGCCTTTTCCACAAGATAAATTACTTAGAATTTTTTGCCAGTCCAAGTTATTTTCCACAAAGCAGAGAGTCGCATGGCCTTTAAGACACCAGGACAATGAATGAATCCAACGGGATGGACCCCCAGGACAGCTTCCCCCAACTTCATGTGATCAGGTGAGACCCGGCCCGGCACTGCAGATAAGCACACACCTGACAAGCACACACCTGATTTACCTGCCAGGCCCAGCTCCCAGAGGAAAAGGCACATTCAATCTAAGGGGTCAAAATCGAGCTCCGCAGCTCCACACAGAAACAAAACAGCCATATAAATGCCGACTAGCCCGGCTGCCTTGTAAGGACGATCACTGACAACTCCAGTTCCTATTCAGCAGGCTAATAAGAATAATTATAGCCAGGGCAGGCATTAATCAGCTTGGCAGATACAGGAATTCTGTTAACAAGGCTAAAATGAGTGCCAAGGAATCTCTGAAGGCCAGGGCACTTCAAAGCCCGTTAAGCTGGATGGATTCGCAGGCTTCCTCCTGCAGCCCGCCCCCGCCTGCCCTGTTTTCTGGAAGAAGCCAGTTTCCCAGGTCGCTTCCCCAGAGCAGCCCAGGTGACCTGCCAGGACTTGGGCCTAGGCTGCACCAGGCCCTCCTTCTTTTAACCACGTTGGAGCTTTCAAACTGGGATCATCCTTTTCAGAACATGCTCTCAAGCAGGGTCCGGCGAGGCTGGCTTCTGTGGCCCACTTCTCCTTAGCAGCACCAGGATGAGCCGCGCCCCATGCCCCTGTGATGCGGGGCACAGTCTCCCCAACTGTATAGTATGGAACAACGGTGCCTCTCTCAAAGTGCCCTTGTGAGTATTAAGTAAGAGAACACACAGAAGCGCCCAATGCCTGGTGTGCACTATGTGCACTATCACTATGTGCACTATCACTACTATCACTCTGTGCCTGTTTAGGTGCAAGGGGCTGCGAGCGGCTATAAAGGAAGAAAATATCCCGCATACGGATGCGCGTACATTACACGAGTGGCTGTGCTCCGGCTGTGGTGGGGGGTGTCGAGGGCACGTGCTTCTTTTTACCTTGTAGTCTCTGACTGGCACAGAGCTGCCAGCTCGGTCTTCCCTGCCCCCATGAAGTGGGCACATGGCTGCCAGGACACCCTCCACTCCCAGCATCCCTTGCAGCTAGCAGATGACTTTCCGGCCAATGGTGCTTGTGCAGAGATGCCTCGAGCTGCTTCCAAGCTTGGCTGAGAAGCAACCTTGCATCCTCCACCCTCTCTCTCCTCTTATAGGACCAGAAAGACGAAGATGCCAACAAAGTGATCTGAGAAACTGTGTGTTGAGGACAGCGAGGAGACGGCAGCCTGGGGGCCAGAGCAGCTGTGTGGAGAGACCCCACCCAAACTTTTCATCCTCTCGGGACTATTAGGAAAGACACTTCCACTGTTCAAATTGCTTTGCTTCGGGCTATTTGTAGTGTCGTTTCACCTTTCTGATAATACATTGTAAGATACAGATTGAAATGCTTTTGTTGCTTTAGAACTCTTCCGATAGGTTTGTATATTTTTTTCTAAAAAGACTGAAATTAAGAGAATATCACCATCACCATGGTCCTCTACGTTCCAGTCTCTAATGCATGATTCACACCCATGGGGCTCACCTTCTCAAGCACACGGCTGTGCTGTGTTAATCCTCCCTCTGAATTTCTGATGACTACCCGCTACCCAGAGATAAAAGGTATAAACATGTGTTTCCTCAATATTTATCACATACCTACTCTTGCCAGGCACTCTCTTAGTAATAGGAACACGTTTGCAGGTAAGGCCAACACGGTCCCATAATCAGGGGTAGGATTGAGACCAGGAACAGACAGTAAGATACAATGAGATTAAAAAAAAAAAAAAAAGATACAATGAGATAAATACTGGTGGTGATGGAGAAGCACAGGCTGCCTGGTGGCAACCCACAGACCAACAAACCCACAGTCCAGACCCCTCAGCACAATGGGAAAAACCTTCAGGACCACCCCAGGCCTACCTTTCCAGCTTGCTTAGATACTCCTCCGCCCACCTCCAGTCACACGGCACTCACACGCCATTTCTGAATGAGCCATGTCCTTTCAACTCATCCACACTTGCTGCCTTCCCCAGAGCCTGAAACGCTTTCCATTCTTCCTCTCAATATTATAATTATCCTCAAGGCTCAGCTCAAATGTCACATCTTCAGCAAAATCAACCCCAATCCCAAGTCAAAATGAATCATTCTCTTTTTGCTTCCTAACAACACTTGGTTTCTATGTCAGGTATTTCATTCTGTCGTGTGGTTAGTTGTTTTATCGTCTGTCCATCCACCCCCAACAACCACTCAGTGAAGCACCGATCTGGGAGACTTCGTGGACTCTCATGGGAATTTAAGGAATAATGTTTTGAGCGGACAAGACTGGTCAGACGTAGGCAGAAGTGAAAACTGAGTATGAAGCTGAGTGGGTTCTGACGCGATGGTGACAGGTTGACATAGCTAGGAAAGCTTCATGGACAAAGTGAGTTTTGGGGGGAAAGGAAATACACAGGCAAGGGAAGAGAAACAGGAGAGGCATCCCAAGGCGATGGAAAATGGGAAGGTCAAAGGTTGATATAGTTTCTAAGTAAAGGACAGAAACAAGGTCCTGGGAATGGAGTGTCTGAATCAGAGACATCCAGAGTAGAGAGAACTTAAGGGCCAGACTATTTCTGGAAGAAAATCACAAAGAACCAATAAAGGTGGAACTCCCAAGAATGACCCTTTAGGAAAAGGATGAACTAAGAAGCAAGGCTGGGAGAAAAGGCCAGCCAGGAAGATGTCAGACGTTACTTGCATGGGGAATGATCCAAGGTAGAAGTCATACAACCAGGAAGGGCAGGAAGAAGGTCGAGTGTGTGTGTGTGTGTTGGGTGGGGCGGGGAGCCACCAAATGGAGGTGCAGTGCAAATGTGGAGGTCAAGACAGCAGTGACAGCGAGATGATGCCAGGCTGCAACACAAGAGGAAAGATCACCTTGCCGATCAGCATCTTAAGTTTCAGGAATCAGTACAGTAGAGGGAAGCCACTCCAGATTCTGCGGGCGCGAGCAACCAGGTCAACACCAAGTTCATGGAACTGTTAGGGGAAAAGGTCCTGGCTGATGACACAAGAGAAATTCCAGTGGAGTGGACATGAGCTGCCCAGCCCAGGTAGGACACGCTGATAGAGTGTATCAAGAGGCCCAAGCTTTACCGGCTTCTATTTTGCTTTTGCAGGTCTCTCTTTGCCCCCTCCATTTCTCCCTAACCATAATTACTCAAGGTAATTCTTTTCAAACTTCTGCCTCACTCCCCCACCCCCTTACAAGCAAGCAGGGTTGTGAAGTGCACAACTCTAGGGGGAGCCATTCACACTGACTACAAAGTGAACAGCAGCTCCTAGAGTTACACAGCACACCGTCTGTGCAGCCAGAGGCCCTGGCCCTAACTGACCCAGACATGTTAGCCAGTTCGCCGGTGGGAACTCCCACGAGCAGTGTGCAAGGACAGAGCAGTGGCAAGGGTCCCTGGGTGGAGGGGAAGAACAAAAGCAGCAGATCAGAAGCCTAGGAGAGATGCTCAGAGAAAGGCAGGAAGCCTCCTGCACATGGTTTCAGCTAAAAGCCATGTGACTAGGGGAAGCTCTCTTAGGAAGTGAGTTCCAGAAAGCCCCTCAGAGGTGAAGGAAGAAAACACAGAGGCAGCTGGAGGGCTGGGGGATGAGCAGCAGCCGTCCAGGGGGCCGGGACAGTTGAGCCCTGGTGCCAGCAGGTCACGGAGGTGGTGACAGGCTCCCTCTGGGACCCTCTGCCTGTAAGTGCAGGGCAGTCATTTACCCTGTGTGCAGCTGCGGCCTGTCTGGGACAGACACCACATCCACCCGCACTGCGAGAGCTCAGAAGGCCTTTCCCTAGGGGCTTGGACGGGAACCCACAGTCAGGCTGCAGGATTTATTCTGTCCTGGTTGACACTAACCAAAGAAATCCAAGAAGATGAAAGATTTAAAGGTTTGCCCCGGGGGGCCTCGGTGGGCACTTAATAAACAGAGGTATCTCCATGGCTGGTAACCACGTTAAGATAACCCCGAAGATGGTGTCTGCGTGCCTGGGGTGCATGGAAAATGGAGAGGAAATAAACCACCCAGGATCCAACGACTCCTTGGGGTGGAGGAGGGCCCTGGGGCCAAACTGTCAACAGGCGCCAAGGGTTTCAGCAGGGCAAAGGGCAGGGGCCAGCAGGGAGGAAAGTAACAGGTAGGAAAAGTTGAAGCAGCCAAGGCTCCAGGTCTTTGTGTATAAACACGCAGGGCGGGCGCTTGCAGACGGTCTCGAGCAAGGAGAATGGGGCAGATGCCGTGGCCACGATCGCCACGGAGAAGGGCTGGCACACCGGTCCTGACCGCTGCGCTCCGGGCCGCCAGGTGACCTTCGTGGAAGGAAGTTGGTGGGTTTCCTCGCCTCCCTGGAAAGGCAACTCGGCGTGGGCCCGGCTTGGAGCGCCCCGGCCCGCGGCTGCCATGGCGGGGCGCATCCAGGCGCGCGTTCCGCCCCCGGCTGGGGCCGCCGGCCGGGACCGCGGGCACCTTCCGGGCCGCGAGTTCAAGGTGAGCCGGGCTCGCGACGGCCAACAGGTAGGGCGGGCTGGGGCGAGCCGCCCGGGGCCACTCCCCCCGCACATGTGGGGGGCGAGGCTCGGCCTGGAGGAGGAGCGGCCCCCGGACCCCGCGCGCGCCCGGGCCGGGTCCGCGCCCGCCGCCGGGCGACCCCGCGGCCGTGCCCAGCCGTGCCCCGCCGTGCCCAGCCGCCCGGGCCGGGTGTCCCCGCGGCACCCTCGGCGCCCCAGGCCGCGCGCCGCAGCCGCGCCCCGCGATCTCCCGGGGGCGCCGGCCCCCCGCGCCCGGCCGGCCCCGCGCGCACTCACCCAGCGACAGCAGCGCCAGCAGCAGCGGCCTCGGCGCCAGGCGCCCCATGCTCGCCGGGCGGGAGCGCCTCCCGCTCCTCCTCCTCCAGCTCCGGCTGCTCCAGAGTCGGCGCTCCCCCGCCTGGGCCGCGCGCCCGCCCCGCTCTCCGCGCGAGCCGAGAGGTCCCCGCGCCCGGGCGTGCGTGCGCCCCTCGCCAGCCCGCGCCCGCCGCCGCCCCCGCGCGCCCCGCCGCCGCCAGCCAGGCCCCGGGAGCCGGGCGCGGAGCCGCCCCGCCGAGCCGAGCGCGCAGCCCGGCCGCCTCCCGAAAGCAAAAGGGAAGAGCCGCAGCGCCCGCCCGCCCGCCCGCGCCTCCCATCCGGCGCTCTGCCAGCAACAAACACAAACTTTCCCAAGCCCCTCCCCGCTCCAGGTAACGGAGGACGCGCCGGGGCCACCCGCTTAAAGGGGAGGCGGCGGCCGAGCCCCCTGCGCCCCCGCGGGCCCCCACCCCGTGGCAAACTTTCCGCCGACCTTTAAAAGTTGGGCTTGGCAAGGCGGGTCTGGAGAGCCCCCGGCTGCAGCCGCGTCCCGGACACCCCGCCGGCCCCCGCGCGGCTTCGCCCACGTGTGTCCGCTGGGCCCTGGTCCATCCACGCGTGCCCACCTGGGGACCCCGCCTGCCCGCCGCCGGGCCTTGCTGGACACCAGGCGGACAGGGCTGGAGGAAAGGAAGGGGCTTTGAAGGCCGGAGTCCAAGCTCCGGGTGGAGCAGAGGCCTGGAGTGCTTAGGTGACTTGCTCGAGAATGCGTGGCGCCGAGGGGGCAGGATCCGAACCTGGTGTCCAGGTTCTGCTCACCCTGGGCGGGCCCGGCCTTCCCTGGCCGGCTCCGACCCCCCCAGGGCTGGCGGTGGCACCGATTCGAGCGCCCGTGGGGAGAGGGTATTTATAGCTACAGCCCTTCCTATGGAATGTGCTCTTAAGACTTATATTTCTTGTTTTAAGTGGACACAACTGTTTGCTAATAAAGACTCCCTTCCCCCACAGTAGGTTTTTTGTGTTTTTGAGTGGAATACAAAAGACCCTTATGGGGGCGGGGGCTGTGTTCATTGTATAAAACTTCACAAGGATGATTCAAACGTACAGGCACCGGCTGGAGGCCCCCCCCCCCATCACTAGGGCCTGTCATTGATATGTGCAAAATGAATCACGGATGTTAATGGGGAGACTGCACAAGTGGGGGAGGGGGTGTGCAGGAACACGGCCTTAGTTCTGTTGCATCTTTTGTTATTTCCACTAACAAAAGTGGGAGCAGCCAGGTTGGAATCTTTCTGGAAGAGACTTAAAAACTTGTCAGTGGTGGTGCAATCACGTGAATGTAGTTAATGCCACGGAATTGTACACATCAGAATGGTGTGATGATAGTGTAAGATTATGGGAAACTATTTTTTAATTCAACGTCGCCACCAAGCATTTCTCCGTGCTGTTCATCTACCCTGGAATTCGTTTCTGCTTCTCATTCCACCTCTTCCCTAGAATTTCTCCGGGAATTTTTTCTATTTAATTCCATTAACCTTGAATGCAAGTTGGATGTTAGGCCTTGGAAGATGCTGGGACTACAGAGAAGAGTAAGATCTGATTTCTCTCGATTGCACCTCAGATTGCAGCACATCCAGATTTTTCTCTTTCTTTACCCTCAGCACCTAATGTCTGACCCATACATTTTGGCACTGGACTGATTGACTGTGTCCCCTCACCTCCAATTCACATGTTGAAACCTTACCTCCCAATGGTACCTGAGGTGGGGCTTTGGGGAGTGATAATTAGATCCTGAGGATGGGACCCTCCCCAGAATGGAATTAGTGTCCTCATAAGAAGAGACACCAGGTAGCTCTCTCTGCCCAAAGAGGATCCAACAAGAAAGCAGCTGTCTACAGACCTGAAAGAGAGCTCCCACCAGGGGTGGGCAGGGACTGAGAAGGCCAGCACCTTGGTCCTGGACTTCCCCACCTCCAAACTCTCTGAAATTAATGGTTAATCTACAGTGTTCATCGCAGAGCCAACTGAGACAGCACAGCGGACGTGTCGCTCCATCTCGAGTAATAAAAGGCCCAGAGATTCTGTCCCCTTCTCATTTTGTGTTCTCCAGTCACTGCAAGTCCATGTTTCCTAAAAGCCCTTTAACAAGCAAGTACAAGTCCAAAAGTGTGTCTGGCACACAGTAGGTCTTCAATAAATATTCACAGAATGAATGAAGGCCAGGAAGTGGGGCCAGACCCGGCGAGTCCAGTGATAGGTGAGGCAGGTCCTGCCTTTGAGGCACTTCCAACCTGGGCGTCATGGCTGAGCAGGGTAGGGCCAGGGACAAGGTGCAGTGTGGACACAGGGAGTGCTCAGGCTTGGGTGAGGTTATCAGAAAAAAGCCAGAGGGGGTGACTGTGGAAAGAATCTTGGAGGATCGGCAGGTCTTTAGTCGTGAGGTGGGCCGCGCTTTCAGTGAATGTTGTGTATTTGACAGATTCTTCTCCCTGCCCTCCCTGCCCCAGGTGTTATTAAATTAATAGTACATGTTATAATCATGGAAAGAACAGTGGTTAGTAATAGAAATGGAAAAAATAAATGAGACAGGCCAGGCAGCGCATGTGGAATAGGGCAAAAGTGGGCAGCCTGTTGGGGAGGGTCCGGTGACTGTGTCGTGAAAGTCGGGCGTTTTTGTAGCAGAAAATGAGGGTCAGTTAATAAGTCCAGGTGGTCATCACCTCCACACCTCATGTTCATCACCTCCACAGCCGCTGGCCCCTGACTACCAAAGGATAAAATACATTTCTAACTAAAGAAACAGCACCTGCAGCCGACAGCACAATCTGTCCATTCAGGACTTTGGACTCTGATGATGCTTTTATTCAGAAAGCTATTTATTTGTCAGAGTGACTAACCCGTCCAGGTATGGCTTTGCCCCAATCCATTGTTCTCACATGGGTTAGTCTACCTGCTGGCCTGGGGCAGGAAGACTCACTCTCAGCGGCTCTGCCCCGCACCCTGCGTGCTTTCCTTCCCCAGATCACAGTCCCTCTGCCTCTGGTCACAGTGGCCAGTCACTTTGTCTGGCTCTAGGCACCACCCCAGAAAACACCAGGAGGGTCCTCACTTTCTTCCCAGACACTGCTGAGATCACCAAATCATCTTATTATTTAAAGTTAAGAATGGAAATGTTAAAAGGTTCCCATAAGTGAATTTTCTGAGTGTTTTGAGAGCCACCCAGACCTGGTATATTGACCCTGTCACCTCCACCAACACACACACACACAGAGAAGACTCCAGATGACCCCACACTACTTCAGCAGTGTGGCGGGGAAAGGCTGTGTGATTCATGACAACATTTCAACTCTATTAATCATGTTCATTAAAATAGTCTCTGTTAGACTTCCAGGTGCGGAGTCCCCTATTGAAGTTAAACAAGGGATTACTAATGAAAAAGAAATTGAAGACTTAATCATAGAACTAGAAAATGAAATTAAGAGTTGAAAAGAGAGGGGTGGGGAGAAGAAGACTCATTTCCTGATAAGTGAGAGCCATTTAGTCCTCGAGGGTGGGGAGGCTCTGGAATGCTCATCTGACAGGTTTCACTAACAGTGAGAGGCCTGGTCTGCTGGGAACGGGCTAAGCTTGGTGTCTGGGAGTTGGGGGGTAGTGGAGAAAGTGCTCTGAACTTCCACCCCCACCAGGTAGGAAGTATCTCCTGAGCATCCTCTCTGGAGGACCCACACCAGCAGGGACCCTGGGGTGGACGAGTGTGACCAGAAATTAGGAAGACGGAGTGAGACTGGTGTTGCGCAGGACCAGCCCCAGCCCTCTGTGAAAGTGAGGCATTATTACTGCTAAAGAATATGGTCCTTGCCGTTGGGGAGCTGCTGGTCTAGTTTAAGGTACTGAAAGTGCTGGGATCTGTAAAGGAAGAGAAGAAATTGATGCCAGAACAGCAGAGGAAAATGAAAAGGGAGGTAAGTAGATAAGAGGCGCACAAGCCATTGTGCGGAGTTTTCTGCAAATCTGCTGTCGTCTGGGCTGGAAACAACTCCTACACGGAGTGAAGACTGCAGAGTGATTACGCGACGGAAGAGGTGTCACATCTGGGATGTTAGAAATACCACAGTGCTAGTGGCACCCAGAGGTACTATCACAGAGAGGAATCTCCATAAAGGGGGCGGTCCCCTGCCTCACAGAGTGGAGAGGAAGCTGAGCAGGGAGGGAAGCTGGAGGAGACTGGAGAGCTGATTCCCTCGCAGAGAAATGTGAAGGAGGTGAGCTTGCTTCTCAGCTGTGGACTTGCACCAGGAACTTGGGGGACATGGGAGGAGACACATGGAAGAGATGGGGTGAGAGGCCCATGGGGAGGCTGACCATGGCAGCCTGTATCTTGACTTGTACTTGAATTTGGCTCCTTTTGTCCCAGACTTGCCTGCAACCTTCTGCCCCTTCCTTCCCTATGGGTGCCCACCAGAAGGTGCCTTAGACTTGGGGCAAATTTTCAGGCCTCAGTGGCTCCACTTTGGACCAACCCTGTTTGGCTGGGCGTTCACCCATGAGGGGATGGGTGACTTTGGGTGTTTTATTGCAAAACTGTTATCTTTTCTTCCCTCTTTATGCATTAACCCTATTAAAGTTCTTTCACATGAAGAGTATGTTTGGTCTTTATGTGATGGATGGCAGAACCCCCTTTAGAGCCTGTAGGTTCGGAGATCCTGGGACACCCCTCAGTCTGCACACTAACAGCACCCGCCTGGTGCAACCTTGTCCCTGCATTGAACTGGTAAGGGGGGAACTTTAACCCCCTCACGGGAAGGCACTTTACCCTAAGCTTCACACGCAGGTCAGGAGGGAGTGAAGAATAGGGTGTTCTCCTTCCTAGTCCTTACTATCTCCCCACCAGATTCTCTCATCCCTCTTTAAGCTCTCTGGGTTCAACTGGCATATTAGCTGAAGTTCAAAACAGTACAATTTAAAACACATTTGCAAACTTAAATGCCTCCCGAGAAAGTTTCCAAGCTAAAATATAGGATGCCCAGTTAAATTCAAATATCTGATAAACAAGGAATTATTTTTGAGTTATAAGTTTGTCCCAA